AATGAAAATTTCAAATAAAAAAGAATAAAAAAGGAGAGGAGGAAGAGAGATTGATAGAGAAAGAAAAAAAAAGATGAGGTAGAGAAAAAGGGAAGAGAAAGAGCGAAGGAAGATAAACTGTATAATTTTTTTATTATTAAAAATTGTTATGATGTAGTAAAATTATATTGACATAAATGGTAAATATTTTTTAAATATGGTACACTTATGTGATTTACCCTTATAAAAACTTAGACATTGAAGAGAAATAATCCACTTTGAAACAAACCAAAAATTTTGAGAAAATTGTATATAATGGCAAACTAATAAATCAAATTAAATAATATAATCACACTTTGATATAATTGTGCCCTGTAGCAAACTGTTTGTCAGTCATCTCTCTCTCAAACTCACGCTCGTCATTCTCCCTCTCTCGCTCCATTTCTTGCTCGCTCTTTCTAACTTTTATACAAATATAAGTGTACAATATGTGTTTTGGTTGTATAAAGCGAGAAAAAATTGTATATCCATATATTTCGTTCCCCTCTCCAAAATGTTGCTCGCCACCCTCGCCTCTATCGCTTATACAAATAGAAACGAAATGTATAGATTGTGTTTGTATTTGTATAAAATGAGAGAAAATTGTATACACTTGCAAATGCATATATATTTGTCCCATACACTTATAACTATACAATACAAATATTGCCCTATTCATTTTTTTTTGTCTTTCTTTCTTTTACGTTTTATACATACACAAATTATACATTTGATTTGTATAAAACTACTTTCTTTGGTATATGTATAGCGAATTATACAATTGGTTTCTTTGTATATGTATATTGAATTATACATATTTATGTTTGCTATAGAGCGTAATTATGCAAATTTTGCTATAACATACAAATATGAGTTTTGTGTTTTCTATATGTGAAAGTTGCTCATAATTTTTAGCCACAATCTCAAGCCCTAATTTAGGCCCATTTTTAACAAATTTCCTATATAAAAAATAATTGACTCACTAGATCAAGATGGTGGTAAAATACTTTTCAGAATCGAAGAATTTCCAAATTAGTAAAATCTTAAAAAAGAGTCTCTCCTTTCCTTTCCTTTTCCAGCGACCACCTCCCTGGAATCCGGCGAAGCTTCGGCAACCAAGAACCCCAAGCCATTTTATTTTTCTTTTCACTGTTTCAAAATATCCACCAGCTAGCAGCTTAGAAATGATATCAAAGCCACACTGAATTTTTCGGTGAACCTTTTTCCATTGTTTTCGGAGAGCATAAGCTCCAGCAAACTCCGAGCTTACAAACAACACAGCCGCTTTCCTTCTCTGTTTTCAATCACCGCCAGACCTCTCCTCTCTTCTTCTCCTCAATACCCCACTTTCCAGCTTCTTCTCTGTCACTATCCAAAGCCGAGTAACCCATCTCCGACGAACCAAATCTCCACTAGCAAACAGAACCCAAAAGCAAACAGAACCCAAAACACCACCAGCCTCCACGCTTCCTCGTATCCAGCAGCAGTCACAAAAACAACCCCAAAACAATGAATTATTACAAAGTTAAAGGCTTTTCAGTAATTATTTTTATATTATTATCTTTTATTTTGTTTATTTTCTTATCCTTACTATTGAATGGATTGATTTTTCTCTTTTGTTTATTGCATTTTTTAAATTAAAGTGATCTTTTAGATGTAGTTTTACAAAGTTTTGGCATAAACAAAAATTTTTCAATGAGAAAATCTCTTCGTCGGATTTGGAGACCTCTACATTTTAAAAGACGAAAATTTAGTTTAAAGTTTATATTTTTTTCATGTTAAATTGGCTTATGAAGAAATTATGATCAATTTCTAAGGACTTGCATGTTTATAAAGACGGATTTTTATTTGAAGTTATTGTTTAAGTTATTCATTTGTATTCATAATTAATTTGATATTAATACTTTTCAAGTGTCTTTACAGGTACCCTGCAGTCGCTTCCCATTGAAGCTATTCGAACAAAGTTCGAATTTATTCGAATAATGTTTCATCTATTATTGTATACTATCGACGATATGCAAATTTAGGTTTTCTCTTATTTTCTGATTTTACTTTATTACTTGTGTACATTGTATATTTGTTTTACTTGTATCTTGTTTTTATCTCTTTCTTAATTTAAAAAAAATGAATTTAATCGGGACTCACATTATTTGGTTTCCTACTTTTCCCTAAAATTAGGTGGAGACTTCTGTAAAATTCGTTTATTCTATAACTTCCTTAAAATTGAGTTAATTGATAATTTTTTGAGTCACAATGACGTTTTTCCCTATTTGAATATATTAGGGATGTAAACAATTGGCGCGTGGGTGAACTAATCCATCACTATGGAAGATTACATACCTCTTAGGGATTAAATCCATGGCGAAAATCCGTAACTAAAATCAAGAACGTCGACGGACGCGTTCATCCTTTCCTTTTTTTTTCTCCTCTTTTCTCTTCTTTTCTCTTGTTGTCTCTTCTTTAACTCTCAACTAAAGCCATAGGCGTATATTAGGATTATGAAACTTAAACTAAAAGGACTATGCCCCTAAAATATTACTAAAAATAAATTAAATCTTATTCGGTAAGAAAAGGACCAAAATACCCCTTACTATTTTCGGCTAACTTTCTTTAACTGAACAACCTAACTTCAAAAGATCATATCTCACTCATCCAAACTCAAAAATTAACAAACTCAGCGGCGTTGGAAAGATAATTTCATATGGTATCGTTTATCACACCTAACTCATCTTGTTCTATGTGTTGTGGTCATTTGATGTTGACCCAAAACTCATACTTAGCTTAACTTGCAAAATTTCATATTTTGCAATATCCAATTTAATTCTCTTTGGAACTCAAGGTGCTAAATCTACTGAACTGGCCTTAATACTTGAGAAATTTGTATTTTCTTAGTAAGATCTCACTCACTATGATGAACGGTTCGAGTCTTAATTCAAAAAAATTCCTAGAATGTTACAACTTGCTTGATGAATATGTTTATTAGACTATTTCAATGGGATTCGCCAGAAGGACAGGCTGAATAAATATGAAGAAAATGAGACTAATTAATGAAAAAGGAAAAAAATATCGGGAAGCAGAAAGAGTGTATTGTTCCATGATACATTATTATAAATTATTCCCTCTGTTTCATTTTATGTGAGGTAGTTTGACTCGACATGAAGTATAAGAAAGAAATGAATACTTTTAAAACTTGTCGTCCAATATGAACGATAGAAATTTGTGTGAATGTAAATTATTTCATTAAGGATAAAATAGATATTTTATAGCTAAACTTTCACTTAATATAAAAAAGAATCATTCTTATTGGACTAACTAAAAAGGAAAGTAAGTCACATACATTGAGATAAAGAGAGTATATAATGGAACTTAAACAAAATGTAGATAACAGAGTAACTGTATAGTGTACAGTATTTCTCTATCTGAGTTTGTGAAGTTGTAGATCAGAATTTTTTTACCACTTTTTCTATAATGGTTGTGCTGTGAAACAATTGCAATTAATTCTAAAATATAAACAAACATTATATTAATTCCATCTATCAAAAGTTATAGTTAGACTAAATACAAAATAAAAATATTATATTAATTCTAGCTATCAACCTACATGAAATTCACACTGCACAGTCTCATCCGGAGAAAGTTCCCCTAATCAAATATTTTTTCATACTCAGGGCTCTAAGTCGAGACGCTAATTAACAGAGGAACAATCTCATCCGCTGATTGAATGTTGTTATACTTAATTTACTATATGGATGGATGTTGTTATACTCAAATTATCGTGTCCATATCTTTTGGCAGCTCATATATTTCATATTTGCTTGGAATTATTTTTGGGATAGGTGTGGTGATTTAGTGCTTCGTGCTGCTAGTAGAAGATGTTGGTCTGTTAAATATGACATGGGATATCAGAAGGAAGAATTCGCTTAACTTGGAAGTCATTGGTGCTGGACAATAGGTTAAAAATTGGTGATGTCAGTGTATTTGAATTGATAAGGGCACTCAGCCCTTTTTAGATGTCACTATATATTTTGTGCAGCCGAGAGAAAACCAAGGCATAAAATAGTTTGATGGTCTCAACCCAATTAAAGTAGTGTATACTAAAAATGATAGCCTTAGATTTTAAGAAAGCATTAAAGGTACTATTTTATTTTTAAAATATTTATTTAGACTGATATAGAATCGTCACTTAATTTTTATAGAAAAAATAAAATAAACGGGTTTCAATAGATTAAATTAGGGAATCAATTTAAAATATTTGAGGGGATTTGGGAATCTAATAAATATTTTAGGAAGGTTTTAAAGGCACCTAAATTATTTACTAATGTGGTTATCCGATAATTAATTTGTTTGGTTAAAAAGAATAACTTGTCTTTAATAGAAAATTAGAACTATTTTTTATTTAGTTAGAATCATTTTAAAAAGAAAAATGGAAATATTGCCCTACTAAATGAGATATTTTCTTGAAAAAATAATTTTATTTTTTAGTTCATTTGAAGTTGACTAATTTTAGTAAAATTATTTAACGAAATGGACGTCCTTCGAGGATTTGAAATTTTCGACCTTAAGGCTTACGATAAATATTGACAAGTAATTAAATGCGGTGATGTAAAGAGGAAGAGAGAGTTGAGCCCAAGTCTTATTTTTGTCTGCCTGGGCCAATACTTGGACCTCTTTTTGTTTTGGGCCAAAGGCCCATTTTTTGCCACCTTTGTATGTATCCCAAGCTAAAATTTGAAATTTATCTCTTTGGGCCTTAGGACCATCTTCCACTTTTCCTAAAATTCTAATATGGTAATGATAATAGCAAAAGACAAGGGCTTAGACCCCAAAATAACAAAAATACAAATTTGACAATATTTTCAATTCTCATCCAATTCTTCTATGCATCGACTCTTGGGAACCTGTTCCTCGTTTCCATTGACCGGCTGACGCAAGAGACAACGTTAATAGGCTTTTGTGGCCAAATCTAGATGCAATTGAAGAAGTATTTGAGTCCGAAAAGGATTCCACAACCGATCACGTGCATTTCACAACAAATAATTGTGCGTCAACATTAAATTCAACTGAAGTACATGTTTAACTAAATGAACCTATGCATCGACTTTTGGGGACCTGTTCCTTGTTTCCATTGACCGACTGACTCACGAGATAACGCTATTGGGATTTTGTGACCCAATCTATATGCAAATGAAGAAGCATTTGAGTCCAAATAGAATTCCACCACCGATCACATGCATTTCACAACAAACAATTGTGAGTCAACATTAAATTCAATTGAAGTACATGTTGTTTAACTAAACAAAAACAAAGCAAAGGCATAATAAGCAAGGGTGAGGGCCATTCACAAAGTTGAATTTAAGATCATAATCACCTAAATATAGAAGATGTACCACAAACTAACCTAGTTTATAACTAACAATTACGCTCATCAAAACTGTAAGAGAATAACTTTAAATTAATCGAGTGCCGGACAGATTAATCTAACGAAAACCAAACAACAAAACTGAAAAACATAACATTTTTTAAGTGAGAAAAAATCATGGAAAAGGAGAATGCATTCTGACCATTTTTAGAATAAATAACATGCTAGGAATATCCTTCAGAATAGCTCAACCAACAATCAAAATGAGAGCAAATAACAACAACATGTTCTCTTAACACAAAATTCAGATTTCAGAAGCATTTCAAAGTAATCTTACATGAACAAAATAAGAACAAATCATTATGCTATCACACATATTAAATTGATTAGAACTCGAACAACTAAGGCTCAAGACATGTTGGACACCATATTACACTATGGCGAGCATAATGAAAGGCGGAGACTCATAAAAAATCAATCCATGAGCTTAAACATATAATCAACTAAAAGAATCCTCATACAATAGCTTTAACAAGATTAAGCCTAAGATAAATCAATAACAATATAGATCCGAAATGAAAGGTTCTGATACTAAATGAAGAAGAGATCATAATCAACTCCATGATACTAAATTAGGCTTAAACAACTTCCCCCATGTTCATAGCGAAAGATTGTACAAGCTATGATGAAATAAACAAATCATTATAACATCCAAATACCAAACACTTCATAAATCTAACAAAAACAAGTCATAAAGCAACACAAAGGAAGTCAATAAGCTGATTTAATACTGAAACTAAAACACCATCAAAGACACTTCAATATAAACATAGAACAGCAAAAAACTAATTAAACTGAAATCAAGAAGAGCAATCACCACTTTTCGGGCAGCGAAGTGGAGACAGTGACGAGCTAGGATGAACAACAACTTTTACAAACAAATGGAAACTCGAACACATACGATCAACCAGAATTCTGTGCAAAACCTCATACACGGAGGAACTTGAGAGAAACAGATTCAAAATGAAATAAAAAGTGTGATACTCCGACCAAAACTAAGTTTTCCGCTTTGAACGTCTCACTATATTTTCCTTGGCTTAGTCTTTTCTTGAAGTATCTATCAATATTTCTCTAAAATTTTTGACTAAAAAAAGTCCCTCCCCCCAGATGAAAAGAAAAGACGTTTATATAGTGGGAATCTGAGGTTTTACCTTTTGGGGGAAAAAGGTATATTTTGGGTGAGAACAAGGGCAGAATTGAAACCCTAAAATCAAGTCTCAATTCAAATTTTCCAAGGATGAAGGATTAGCTGGATTATACGAGAATTCAAACCAAACCCGCAAAAAATTCAGACAACAGGGGCAGCGTGGAGGGCTTGGATCGATCGATCGTCCTTGAGTGCTATGTGGCTTTATCTCCAAGCGAGCAAGGACGACCAGACACAACTAGAAGGATTGAAAAGCAAACTGATCTACTATATAAGTGTACTGGTGAGGAAGACATCAACACGGAAAAGAGAAACGCATCTTCTTTTTCGTGCATTTTGACGAAAAAGGTGTTGTTTGGAGATATTGTAGCTGCCCTTGTGAACTCACCCTCGCATGAGGCGCGTCCAGACGTCGATGGTGTTGCTCACGCATGTTTCCACTACTTCTCAACACGGTTTGTTTGTTGTTGAAGAAGAAAGGTTGGGTTGGGTTCTTAGGTATGGGCTGGGATCCCAGGAAAAGGAATTGAATTTTGGTCAATCAACACTTTCTGAATGCAAATGGGTCAGTTAGGGAATTAAAAATGTGGGCTAGGAAATTATATAGCGCAACTTTCACATATAGCAAACAAAAAAATCATATTTGTATAATATAACAAACTTTGCATAATTGCGCTCCATAGCAAACATAAAAACTGTATAATTCGCTATACATATAAAAGTGTATAATTCGCTGGCCTAAATTGTATAATTCGCTGGCCTAAATTGTATAATTCGCTGGCCTATTTCACTGCAATTGTATAATTAGCTTTGCATACAGTTGAATCGAATTAAAATGTATGTATATTGCATAATTATAAGTGTATAGCAAGAAGATATATGTTCTTCTCGCTTTATACAAAAACAGAAACACAATATATACACTTCTGTTGTATAAAGCTAGAAAATTTTTTATTTCACTGCAATTGTATAATTCATAATTGTATAATTCTTTGGCCTTTTTCTCTGCAATATTTAAGTAAAATGTTTGTAAATTATATAATTAAGTGTATAACACGAAGATATACATTTTTGCATGTGTATATACAATTTTCTCTCGCTTTATACAAAACACAAACAGAAATTATACACTTCTGTGTATAAAGCGAGAGAGGCGAGAATAGGAGAGTGGCGAGCGAGACTTCTGGGAGAGAGACGCCTGACAAATTTTTGTCAATGTTTGCTATGGAGCACAATTAAATCAAACCCTAGCTATTCAATTTAATTTAGGTTATTAGTTTGCTATTTTATACAATTTTCCCAATTATTTATGTTGAATGCAGGGCCCAAAAATGTGTTTAAGGTTAGGTAATAGAATGACAACTAGGAAATATCATTACAAATTGCAAATTGGTCCAAGCTAATTAAAGACTGAGCCAAATTTGGATGTAATTTTTGAAGAAATTAAATAGGATGATGTAATATTATTTATTAATGAATTTTTTAATCTTAACGAAATAAAATAATCAAATTTTATTATAAAATGATTAAAGCATCAACTTACATCATAACTATAATTAAGACTAAAAAAATTAATGAAAATTTTAACTTGAAAGTGTAAAATCTTTTCATGACGACTTCAACTATTTATGGAACATACTAATTGAATATATGTACTGTATAAAACACATTAATTATTTAAAATATTACACAAATAAGTAAAATCATTTTAAAATCTTAAAAAAAATATTTCAGATTTTCCATAAAACCAATTATTTCAAATTGTTTGATTAAGGAGCTCAAAAATTAATTTCTATCATGGTGGGTTAACATTGGTTGTCAATAATTGTACCACATTTTACTTGGATTGATGCAAGAAAATCAAGGAAAATGAAATTGACGAATCTAATTTTGACCAACCATATCTTCATCTTAGAAAAGGTATTTGGTACGGACATTCGGAATTATGGTCGAACCCCGCAAATGATTTTCTACATATCTCAGTTTATATGAGAATTCTGACTGCTTATAGTTCGATACACTTGATTTAACGCACGATTTTGAAAGAATTCAAAAGAAATCCTGATATTAACTTATGAGGAGATTGGAATGCTCGAAATAATATTAAAGAGAGAATGTTGGGATATAGCCTATTTTTAAACATAGATTCTGCGTACATATCCCTCAACATAGGGAATCAGGCTGCGTGTAGCTCGACTCAATCGGTTGAAAAGGAAATCTATTGTGCAAGATAACCTTTTGGTTGTTGAAAAGCGACAAAGTAAGTTGAGTATGAAAAAAGGCATGCGACCTCGTAGCCATTAATGTGGCGCTCTTTACACCCATAATTAAGAACTTGCACGGACATGATTCCTAAAGTTCTTGGTGTATTGTCAATCGGATTGGAAGGATGCTTTCGGTAAAAACAAGAATTTATAGACGCAACACTAAAACAAAGAGACCTAAAGAAGAACCAACATGCCTTTTGATAGGTGTGTGGTTTGATTGTGGTGGAAGTCACTTCTCTGCTCGCGTCGTAAGAGTTTGAAACTCCTCTTTGGACTATGTCTAGTTCGCTACTAATATAAGGTTACATGTTGTGTTGCATCCTTTTTTATGTCATCAACACATATGGTTTATTTTGGAGAATTCATTCTTCCGGGTGATCTCGGTGGAATCTGAGATAAAACTCATTAGCATAAAAATGAAATTCACATAGGAGATAATGTCTTTTACCGTGTTGACACTTAATTGCTCTCCTTGGACATCTGACATCAACTCAATTGATTTTGACGTAAAACAAATAAAGCTTGTGTCTCATATTTGCAATATAATTTTCAATGTACTCTTTCTTTAATGTCAATGTAATAAAAGACTGATGCAATGTGTTGATAGTTTTCTCAATGTCGTTGCTGGTGATTCTTTTGATGTCGTCTTTCCAAATAAAAAAATGCAATTGCTGTTGATTTTCTCGCAACACATGGTCTCCTTCTTTGCAATGCATTGGCCTTTCTCTTGCAATATACAAGTTTTTTTTATCTTGCAATGCATATCTTATTCCTCTTCATATGCATGATTTTTTTCTCTTTTGATGCATGATTTCTTCCTCCTCCTATGCATGATTTCCTTCTGTTGCGATGGATGACTCTTTCTCTTTCTATGAACAATTTTCTTCTCTTGCAATGCATGACATCATTCTCTTGCAATGCATGCCTTTCTTTTTTTTGTGCCCAATGTTCCGCGATGCATGACTTCCTTCTCTTTCAATGCATGACTCATTTCTCTTCATATTCACAATTTCCTTCTCTTGCAATACATGAGTTCTTTCCACGATGCATGATTTCCTTCACTTACAATGCATGGCATCTTTCTCTTGCTATGCATGAGTCCTTCCTCTCGCGATGCGTGATTCCTTCCTTTCGCGATGCATGATTCATTCTCTTGCAATGCATGATTATATCTCTTCCAATATATAAATGTATTTCCCGCTATGCACGATATTTTCTCGCAATGAATACATCTCAACTTATGATGTATGAACCTCTTTCTTCACAATGCATGATTTTATTCTCTTTCAAGCGATGCATGACATTTTCTCTTGATATGCATGGCTTCCTTCTCTTGCTATGCATGGTTTTATTTCTCTGGATGTGATCCCTAGTACCAAACGGAGATAGTGCTTCATCGTGACACATAATGATCTTATGGATACCTTCTGGACGGTGATATCCTCTAAATTGAAAATACAGTAAAAAAAGACCCTCGGGGTAGTGATATTATCATGTCTGATAATATGGTGTAGGTGATTTCCTCCAAATATCTTTAATTGATGAAAACCAACAGAATGTCTCTCCTTAGGGTATTCTCGTTTGTTCCGTCTCAAAAAATAGTTGCACATTCATTATGGACTTCGTGTTGTTGGGAATTGAATGAAATAATGTTATTAATATTTCCAAATCTTTTATATAAGAAGCATAAAATATTTCCTGCACCCATGGAAAAAGTTGTCAATTTTTGGGATCTCTTCGCCCTTTTGACTTCTTCATATTCATTGAATGGAGAAATATACTAATTTTTATATAAACCTATAAACCGACATCAGTTTTAAAATAAACTGATATGTGTCGATCTCTTTGCTTGTGTGCTCCTTGTCTTGCTATCTCCGGTTGATTTCTCCAATCTCCCGCCTCTTGATATATAAGAAAACATATTTTATGCCAAAAATAAATGAAACATAAAGTAAAATCTTTTTAGAAAATGGATTTTTGAAAAATTAGTATTTGGAAAAGGTCACCAACAAGCTTCATGTCATGTCAAGCTTAGCGAACTTCTTAGAGACTAATGTAAGGAGCTCTATCCTGATTATTTGCTGGAAAGTTTTCAAAGGTTCTCTAGAATGCTGATGAACTCATATTGAAATTTTAAGGCCACTCTCAAAATTTTTGTCCTAGTTAACTATCTTGGCTTATCTTTAACTGTTGGTGAGCCAGTCACGAAATGTTGCAGACTTTTTCAAAAATTTTGTCCCAGTTGTAAATCTCAAGGTAATTTCAGTTTTGACTTATTAAAGAAAAATCATCTTCTTGAGAATTTTTGAGTCCTCTTGTAAAATTCTATCCAGTTTCTATTGTAAAAAGAAGTAGAAATCTTATGGGAGATATTACCAAACCGTTATGGCGCTTACGTATCTCGTTGAGGTAGGAAATAGGTCAAATGTAGTTCCACTTCAAAGGTAAACAATAGTAAGAAATTTGCAAAAAATTGACCTAAGTCGACATAGGCCGCTTACGTATCTCATTCTTGAAAATTTGGGTCGAACGTAGTTCAAATGCAAAGAAATATTAAAAGATGATAAATTGGGTAACCGAGGTAGACATAGACTGCCTATGTATCTCATTCTTTAGAATTTAGGTCATACGTAGTTCATTATAAGAGGAATCGAATTTTAAACAAAGAAATTATAAGCAAATAGAATGATTACAAAGAGATGAGACGAATACAACATGAAGCTTCACATATAATATCTCTTGACAGCATCTGATTTGATCAGTTTAGGCCATTTGGTGCCATCCATCTCAAACTAGGACAAAGCACCTCCAGATAATACCTTCCGAACCATGTAGGGTCCTTGCCTATTTGGTGCGAATTTTCCATTGTACTCATCCTGATTAGGAAATATGCATTTGTGGATCAACTGACCAACTTCAAAAATTTTGGCTCTTACTCTCTAGTGGAAAGCGCGGATCATTCTCTGTTGATACAGTTGACGATGGAAAACATCAAACATTCTCTTTTCGTTAATCAATGTTAACTGATCAATCCGTTTGCGAACCCAATCGACAGTACTTAACTCAGCTTCTTGGATGATTCTCAAGGAAGGTATCTCAACTTCAGCCGACATTCTGACTGGCGTTATACAACCCAACAAAGCATATGGATACATCTTATGCCAACCTCAATGATTGTTAATCATTTTCCTCAAAATCTTCTTAATATTCTTATTGTCAGACTCTACAAATCCATTCATTTGAGGACAATAAGTGATTGAGTTTTGGTGACTAATCTTAAACTTTTCACATATATCGCTCAACAAAAGACTGTTGAGATTTGCTCCATTATCAGTGATGATAAATCCTGGCACTCCAAACTTACATATCAAATTATTGCGAACAAAATCACCTACAACTTTCTTGGTCACCGACTCTTATGTAGCTACTTCTACCCACTTGGTAAAGTAGTCGATGGGAAGTAAAATAAATTTATGTCCGTTAGAGGCAGACGACTCTATTGGGCAAATGGCATCCATGTGCCCCAACCTACAAATGGCCAAGGAGAACTCATAACATTGAGTTCGTGAGACGCACTCGAATCAGATCCCTATGCAGTTAACATTAATGAGATTTCTCCACGATGTTGAAACAATCGTACTCCACATTCATCCAACAATAACTGGATCGAAGGATCTTCCTAGCTAGAGTAAATCCACTCATGTGTGTACCGCAAACTCTGGCATTTATTTGTTTAAGAAGTTTCGTAGCTTCAGCAGCACCAGCGCATCTTATAAGACCTAAATCTGCAGTTCTCCTATAAAGGATTTCCCCACATAGAAAGAAGTTGACGGTCATACGACATACCGTCTTTTTCTGATTCAGTGTTATATTCTCAGGATAAACCTCGGTCTCTAAATACTTCTTGATGTCAAAATACCATGGCAGATTGTCTAATTCTGCTTGAACAGGTGAACAATAGAATGGTTGCTCTTTTACCTCTACATCCAGAGGATCAATATAACTCTTAGTTGGATGCTTAATCATTGAGGCAATGGTGGTAAGAGCATCAGCGAACTCATTCTGTGTCCTGGGAGTGTGTCTGAGTTCAATCTTACAAAACCTCCTACACAACTTATGTATATACTGCACATACGGTGTGATCTTTGGGTTCTTCACAGCCTATTCTCCTTGAACCTGATGAATCAACCAATCTGAATCTTCAATAACCAGCAACTCGTGGACATTTATGTCAATGACCATCTTCAACCATAGAATGCAAGCTTCATATTTAGCCATGTTGTTCGTGCAATGAAATTGGAGTTTAGTCGTCATAGGATAGTGTTGACCAAATTCTGACACTAGAATCGCTCTGATACCTTTTCCTTGCTGATTTGACACTCCATCAAAGAAGACTCTCCAACAAGGTTATGCTTTAGAAATACCTTCACCCATAAATACTACCTCTTCGCGGGGAAATAAGTCTTGAGCATTTCACATTCCTCATCGACTGGATTTTCTGCAAGATAATCAGCCAAGGCTTGTGCTTTTATCGCCTTTTGGATCAAATACACAATCTCAAATTCACTCAAAAGCATTTGCCATTTAGCAAACTTTTCAGTCAGTATTGCTTTTTGAAAAATGTACTTCAATGGGTCCATCCTAGAAATAAGATATGTGGTATACGAAGACAAATAATGTCTCAATTTCTTAGCGATCGAAGTCAAATCACAACATGTTCTTTCCAAGAGAGTGTAGCGAGCCTCATATAGAGTGAATTTCTTGCTTAAATAATAAATGGTTCGCTCTTTCTTCAATATATCGTCATGTTGACCAAGAACGCATGCAAATACTTCATTCAAGACAAACAAATATAGCAACAATGGACTCTCTTCTAGCGAGAAACTAACACTGGTCGTTAGACAAATAAATCTTGATGGCATCAAAAGCAGTTTGACATTCTTCAGTCCATTTTGTCGAAACATCTCTTTTCAATAATTTGAATATAGGCTCACACACCACAGTGGATTGATCTATGAACCTACTAATGTAGTTTAACCTTTCCAAGAAACTCATCACTTCTTTCTCCGTCTTCGGGGAAGGTAACTCCTGAGTTGTCTTAATCTTGGAAGGGTCAATCTTAATGCCCCTTCTACTAACTATAAATCCCAACAACTTACCAGCTAGTACCCTAAAAACACATTTGATGGGATTTTACTTCAACTTGTATCGATGTAGACAATCAAAGAACTTTCTTAAATGAGTCAAATGGTGAGAACTCTCGCGGGACTTGATTGTGATCTTATCTAAATATACTTCAATCTCTTTGTTAATCATGTCATGAAAGATGGTCGTCATAGCTCTCATATAAGTAGTACTGGCATTTTTATACCAAATGACATCACCCTATAAGTATATACACCCGAAGGTGTAATGAAAATTATGTTCTCTTTATCTTCTTCATCAACTAGAATCTTGTGATATTACCGTGTAACAATCCACAAACGCCTACATTTCATACTTGGAACAATTATCAGCTAGAATGTGGATATTTGCAACGAAAGATTATCGTTTGGGCTTGCTTTGTTGAGACATTTGTAGTCAACACAAATTCAGATCTTCCCATCTTTCTTGGCAACCGAGACAACATTAGCCAACCAAGTCGGATATTGTGTCACTAACGCTATTTCAGACTCGGTCTCTTGGGTAATCTCTTCTTTGATCTCTAAACTTAACTCAGGCTTGAACTTCTGAGTCTTTTATTTTACTGGGTGAATCCTTGATTAATCGGCAATTTGTGGGAAACCACACTTGTACTTAGCCCTAGCACATCTCCGTAAGTCCAGACAAATACATCAATGTATTCTGTAAGAAAATGAAACAGGTTCCTTTTTTGAGCTTCATACAGATAAACACTTATTCGAATTCTTTGATACACTTCCCGTCTCCAAGATTCACATTCACAATTTCTTCCAAATTTGACTATTGTTGGTTCTCAAACTACCGAAACTCTTCAGCAAAATGTTCCGGTACTTCATATTATTTAACTACATCATTACCTGCCTCATTTTTTTCTTTTAGCTCATGAAATGCCATGAAATTGGCGAGTTTTGAATTAATATTACTAAAATCATAAACAGACAAAGTTAGAGAAGTAAATATAGAAAATAAGCGAATTTTCAATAAAAGAGGTTTTTAGTTAAATTGAAAAACAAGCACAAACTTAGGCCATGGCAAAGGACATTTCGCCTTTTTAATCATCACAAGGGAATTTTAAAACTCAAAAAATTAAAATTTACATAAGTGGTGGATCTCGGGCCATCTGCGGACTACCACCGATTTCCAAAACAAGCATAGATATATATCATTTGTACCAAGATGTACGGGGGATAAAAAGTGACTTGGAGGTCCAATTCTGCAATTTCTCCCCCGGCTTGGCATCGCGGATTTCAGAAATCTCGACCGCATCAATTTTTTCAAAAAGGTCCCAAAATCTTTTCTTAGGGTCATCATCGCCGGTGTATTCTCGAACTGGGAATGATTGGTACAGATGAAGAATCGACTATCCAATGGTTTATCGACATTCTTTCTCTTCATTTCTGCTTCATAATCTGTGGGAACATACCCCAATACAAACTTTGCTCCTTTGGCGGGAACTTGGATATGCTCGACAATTCCTTTGAAATTTTTTCCAAATACAAAACCTGGTTCGAACTTTCTGTGAAGAATCACATTAGCAATCATTTTTTATACATAAGGCATAGGGGGTTGTGAATTCAAATCAACATCAATGGCATTTACCAGCTTCATCATGTAGAAATCACATCCTTGAGAAACGTCATCAATGATCGGGTGATACCCATTAGAATGACTTCCCTCACCATGAATGCACAACTCCTGCTCCTTCAAAACAAATTCCATTAGTTGGTAAAGGGTTGAAGGCACAACCCCAGGCATGTGGATGAACAACCTTCCCGAAAGGAGTTTGTAGCTGGTGTCAAACACCTGGAACTCGACGTTGAACTCTGCAAGATCCATCTAAATAGTCAAGTTAATTTCCCTCAATGTTCCCTTTGCACTTCATCAAAGGCCCTCTCACAGACTTGGTTCTGAAGCTTTTCAAGTCAAATTTTAGCTGCCTCAGAATCAACAGTGGGAAAATATTGAGGCCGAATCCATCATCGACCAAGACACGTTTGATAACCTTGACTCGACTTGCAATGAGGATATGTAAAGATTTTTTGTGAATCTTCACTTCAAAGGGAATATCTTCATTACAGAAATTGATTTAGTATCCTCAGATGACCTGTTTTATCATAGCTATTACATTGTCACTATTGGTGCCCACTAGCACATACGTGTCATCCAAAGCCTTTATCAGGGTTTTTCTATGCAGGCTGCAAACGAGTCAACAAAGCCTATACGAAAGTCTGTGTTGGATTCTTCTCTAGATTATTCACAATCAAATAATATTTTAGCTGTATTTTTCTCCAAAATTCCTCAATTTCAGCCTCACATATCGGTCTCTTAATTTGTTCCTTCATTTTCCCCTTTGAGCCAGCTCTTCAGGTGTGTAACATATACCGAACCTAGTCATACCTTGATCAGAATTAGTTGTAATCACAAACTTTGGTCGGGCAAGAGTTTCTTTAAGCAGCAAGGCAACAACCTTCTCGGGTGTCAGAATCACAAATTATTTCCTCTCTAATGCTCAATAAAGCTACATCCCTTTCCAGTTCTTCATGAGTGATGGGAACAACTTCTTTAGCCATGCACCAATGGTCATCTGTTTCTATCATATTGATAGTGATGCCCCCACGCTTTGGCAAAGAATTACTATTGACATTAGGCACGACTATCTTGAGAGAGACCACTTTTTGGTCAATCAGATCTAGGATCTTATGCTTTAAGTTAATACAATGTTTGGTATCACGTCCAAAACTATTGGAGTGATACACACACCTCTGATAAGGTTTGTAAAACTTTGAGCTAGTGTCAACCGGCTTGGGCCCCACTAGATGAATATATCTTGCTGCAGTTAATTTCACAATTAATTTTGTTCAGCTTTCGGCGAAAGGAGTGAAAATTTTGGCGGGAAAATTGTCAAATCTAGGACGGGGGGAGGGGGCAATTGTAGTTTCCTTGCTAAGGGGGAGGGTATTTGACGATAATTTGGAGTGTTAGGACGGGGGGATTGATATCTTGGATATGAGTTGGTTTGGTAATTCAGTGTTGGAGCTTGGTAGTTTAAGGTGGTATTTTGCTAATGTGGAGCTGGGGTTTGATACATTAGGGGAGGCATCTTGTAATTTGATTGCACATTGGAACAGTTGGGAGAGGCATGTCGATAGTGATGGGGTGGAGTTTGGTAAAGTAGAGGGAAAGTTTGGTAGATGGGAAAGGGAGCTTGATAACTGAGAGGGGGAGTATTTTGGTAGGCAGGAGTGTTATTTTGATAATTAGGGGATAGGTATTTTGGAAATCATCTTATGCATAACAAGACATGTATGAACTCTGTGAAGGTCGAAAATGACCTTGGTGTGATGAGGATAACCTTGGGATTTTCATCCCCCCATAAAAGATAGTGGACATATCTTCTCTTTTCTTCTTCAACAAACCCGAGGATTCGGGTGAGGCAGCAAACAGGGAAATCTTCCCGGTTCTCAATCCATCTTCGATAGTCTCACCTACTTTGACTATCTCAGCAAACTTTGTTCCAATGAGCAACATGATTCGATCATAATATTTGGGTTAATGAACCCGCACGAATACTTCGACGATTTACTTCTCAGACATAGGATGCCGAAGTCTAGTTTCCTCCTTTCACCATATATTTGCAAACACTGTGTAGCTTTCATTTATTTCAGCTTCATTTTTTTCGAGGATTAATGGTCAGGAACGATCTCCAATTATAAGAAAATTGTTACATTAAATCCTTAACTAGTGCATTCTAGATAGGCCACTGTGTTGTTTCATGAGATGTAAACCACTCTAGACCCTCTCCACTCAGACTTCGGCTAAAAATCCGCATCAATAAAGTGTCATCTTTCTCAACTCCCATGAGTTGGTCACAATAGGTCCGTAGGTACTCAAAGGGGTTCCCTATTCCTCTAAAAACTTCAAATTTTTTCACCTTGAAACCTTCCGGGAGATCCAAATTCGAGTGAATGCACAAGCCCTCATAGCTCAAACTGGCGACCATAGAAATACACAACAACTCTTTCATTGCCTTTTGAATCTCTTCCTTTAGATCTATCTTTGCGGCCACTTTCTTTGACCTCCACTCACTTTTTTGTTTA